TCTTCACCCCACCCACTACCTTTACGGTTTTATAAATTGAAGACTATCTTCTGGGGCACATGACACTGGGAAAGGCACGGAAAGTCTCGAAAATCAAACCAAGCATGCTGAGAGGCGGGTGCTCTGGGCTCCTAGGCAGGGCAGGGCAGGGCCACCAAGACAGGGAAAACGGCCCTTTCAAGACAGGGAAAACGGCCACCAGACCCTTAGAAAGGGCCAGTCTAAGAAGACAACCAGGAGCGACATGTGCAGCATTTCCATTTGCCCTAAATATCAGGGCCCTCCTGTGTTTGCACAGCTGGAAAACTCTCCATCCACCGCAATTTCTGCGGGAGAATCAGCCAATGCCTATTTAACATCTTGGCACACTGAACATTAGAGAAGGTCGTCGTGGCTTTATGGAATATCTGGGCTAGCCGGCTGCTCTTTTCTATTTTCCCAGTTCACTTGTTTGCCCAGCAGTGTGAACACAGAACTGTAAGTTCACAGTGGCAGTGACTGTACTAATGCATTTAAAATGGCCCACAGCTTTGCCTCATTAGGGCTGGTTCCCTCAAGAGATGACTCAGTTATGCATAAAATGAAACAAACCAATGGACTCCAGGCCTCCCTGGATTTTTCTAGAAGACAGGAGGGGGGTGGGGGCAGACGAGTCCTGTAAGGGATATCAATGTCCCCAGACAGCCATTCCTGCAAGCAAGTGTCTCAAGTCGACTGGCTGAGAACTGCCTCCATAACTACCCGCTTCCAAGCAAGAGGTCCTCCTCAGACAGGAAGTCCTTGACCACTGACCCAGGGGTGATCTGCTGGCTGGGCCACATCCTGCCCCTTCCCAGGGCCACTCTGTGGTCCAGCCAAGACCAGCAGTCCACTGGCTCCCCCTCGGGCTATCCTTGGGTCTGCTCTGGTCCCTGAATGTGAAGGTTTCACTTCACTGAAGAACTTAGTTGAGTCAGGGCTAAACTATGTAAGGGGGTGACTCTGTAGACTCCATGTTACTTAAGATGAAAAATGTTGAGCTGCCTCCATACTATAGCCATCTGAAACTGTAAACAATGCTTTGACGAATGACCACAGACTCAGAGTTGCCCGCCGGCGGTACGTGGTCCGAAGCCCCACAATGGGAGCAACATGAAGCCAATGTTTACACTGACACAGATGACTGGGACCCAACATTTCAATGGCGACTGGAACAGGAATGACAAAGACATTTTCATTCCCGACTGAGGAAGGTCAACCATGGAGGGGCTGGCTCTGGCGAAGAAGGAAATGGCTGGATGTGGACAGTAGGAAAGGAGAATCGCTGTGGGATCCGACAGCCCAGGCAGCTAACCAGCTATTATCGTCTCCTCGGATTTTCCAAGTTGCTGTACTCCAAATTTATGAATCTGAAGGGCTCTATTTCATAGCCAGGCCTGAAAATACTGTGAGTTGACTGAATCGTCTTCAAAAGGATGTTTCAAAGATTCTTATAAACAATGACTAAAACTAAATTATGGTGTAATATTAGTTGATTAAGAGAGACTTCAATTTGAGTAATTTTCATCAGCTGGACACAGACAGTGGTAAAAACAATAACCCGTGACTAAACGCACATTAGCTGATGGGAAGAGCTGCAATCTGGTGTGGCAGGAATAACAGCGGCACAAAAAGGATAAAAATAATTTTTCCCCAAGACCACAGAAGAAAGGATAAATGGGAAAAGAGTAGCTCACTCGACTCTTTCCGATGCCAACCCAGTTCCAAAACGTATTCCCGGAGGGGCCTCTCTGCACATGAGAAACCTGGGATCTGCTCAACCCCCCTCCTCATGTCACGCTACCTTCAATATTCCCCCGAAATGAAGTCAAATCGTCACTGAGATGAGCAGAAGTACGGAACCTTTTTTTAAGTGAAGCAAGGCAGCCAATAAACTAAAATAATTGCAGAATGTGTAATTTCAGAACTTCAAGGAAAAAGTTTAATTCTTCCATGAAGTTCTTCGTCTTTGCATGAGGACATTGAGACACTTGCTTAAAAGACGGTTTCGCCTACAAGTGGACAAGTAAGGGCAATGTCAAGCAAAGAGAAAGAAGGGCAGAGGCTCATCTGCTTGGCTATGTACCTATTCTCCGAACGTTTCCCACACCTCCCTCCACTCCCTCCCCTCTCCCCACCCCCCAACACTCACGTACTTACCCATGGGCTTGTCCTTGCCTAAAACTGATCAAAGTGGGGGTAGAGTACCGGAAGAGGAGATCGTGTTTGGTGGGGCCGGCTTAAGGTGACATAGACCCTTAATGAGATGAATTGATCGAGCTTCAAGAACGGCCTCGGAGATCTCAGAAAGCCTTAAAGATGACATGCTTTCTTCTGCTGCACATAAAGTCTCCGTGAGTTGGCATCTACTCAAGGGCAACTAACAACAAGAACGGGTTACGGTCCGAGCTGGGACATCATCATTTCCATTCCAGGGAGAGAGGAGTTTGAAATCACGATCTGTAATTGCTGCTCGGTCTGAATGGAGGAAACATACCGTCTCCTCTCTAATATATGGAAGAAGCAACTGTGCTGCGTGGAAGGGTGGCTGTGTGTACAATGGCATAGCAGTTCTTGGCTGTGCACTTGTCATTGCAGTGAAGGTCCACCGACACAGAAAGAAAATGGGGTGGGCATGCAGAAAGCATCCAAGAACAACAAAAACAGAGCTTCCTGGCCCCTCGTGAGACACATGTTTCCCTCACCACCCGGGGTACTGACTCACTCCTCGCACTCCAAAACATTCGCTTTTTAATTTCAGGGAGTAACTTCAGTTGTTTGCAACTAAAATAGCTTTGTCTTAAGTCACTCAAGCTGGAACTGAGACCTACAAATCCTTCTTTGAATCTTCCTCCTTCCACTGAAGTTCAAGTGTGGAACTCTTGTACAGGTCAGCTTACGGGATAGATGTAAAAGTTGGCCACTTCAATCCATGGATACCAATTTACTGCGCAACAGGACATCCCTTAGTCTAGTAGATGTCATGGTCCATGATGGAGTAGCCACATCAATGGAGTATCCACCCAAGTAAGACTGGGCTCTGGGAGGACACTCAAGATACAGTCAGAGACAAAGGCTGCTCTCATGGGAGTGTAACTCCAGAGAGGAAAGAAGACACATCCACAAACAATACAAAGCAGGTGACAGCACGAGGTGTTTATGTGTCAGGAATGGGGATACCAGCTTTCTTGTTTGTTTGTTTTTCAAATTGTTTTATTGGGGGCTCGTGGAGACACCAGCTGTACCTGCACTGCCTCATTTCATGCTCACTTCAGACAGTTTGATAACCGACAGTTCTCTTGTCCAAGAGTAGTTGGCATTCTTAAGAGCAATTGAATGACCAAGGCTCCTATTTGTGGCTGGTGGGTGGTGGGGGTTAAATCGAAGGTTAAATTTAAACTTAAGGAATATGGATTTAAGAGCATGCAGTATCCCAGCTGATTGCCTCTGAAGCTTTGCTTGCTTGGCTGGGTATAAAAGTAGAGGTTCCATGACTTCCATCTGTGTGTCCTCCTCCAAGCATTACCTTTGGCACACAACACTGAATCTAATACACACTGGTTTGATGGTTCAAATCAATATGAAATGAAGTAATAATTTTCAAAAATTTATATTTCCACCAAAAATAAAGTTAACTGGCTATCTCCATTTAGAACTGCTCCTCGTGAGCTCCATAGAAGAATTTACCAGCACAATGTTCCGTATAAGAAGGTTTTCATGGTCACGTGGCTTTAGGAATACTATGTGCCCTATTATCAACCTCTACATACGGACAAACTAAACTCATCGTGAAGAACTGTTTGGTTTTGACTGCGTTGGCCTTGTCCCACAGTGATCTGACCTCAGGAAGACGTTGTTGGTTGCTGCAGCTGTGGGGTCAGCACGAGCACCTTGGAGCTCTCCAGGCTGGAATGTTTAGGACAGCAGATGACGAGGCCTTTCTCCTGCACAGCTCCCGGGCAGATCCAAAGCATCAGCCTCTTAGTGAGCTGCGAAGCTTGAACTATTGAGCTCCCAGAGCCCCCGTGTATTAACTGACCCTTGTTAATATACAATGCTCATCTTCATGGAGCAGTTACACCTACCATGCACAGTCTCCTTCACTAAGGAAGAGACAGTATGACCACCCCCATGCCGAAGCCCAGAACAGGTGAGTCAGGGATAGTACACCCAGTGAATGAGCAAAACGGGCTAAATTACATATCATTGCATAGTAAAATTACATATTATACAGTAAAATACTATCGATACACGTCAAGATAAAGATCAGGGGTGTTTTGTTTTGTTTTGTTTTTGTAGAGACCCAGACTGATGGAAGGCTGACTGCATGACTGGGTTATCGGGTTCCTGTAGTTTTAGGTGAACAAGAGCAGATTGCCACCAGACCAACAATAACTTAAGTTGGGCCAGAGTGAGTTTTGAGGTCCTCCCTAACAGCAAGACCTGGGGACTGTGGAGGAACACATCCATCTAGTAAACATGAAATTTCTCTGCAACAGGACCCCTGGTTCCACAAGGCATCGATGTGCCAGACTGCTCACTGCAAGGTTGGCAGTTCAAAACAAGCGGCAGCTCCCTGGGAGAAAGATCAGGCTCTCTACTCCCACAGAAAGTTACAGTCTCCGGACCCCACAAGGGCAGTTTCACTTTGTCCTCAACCGTCACTGTGAGTTGGACTAACTCCGCAGCAGCGGATTTGGAGAGGTGCTGTTGTTGTGTAATCTCTCTGCCATGGCCCTTCTCCTAAGGTCCCTTAGCCTTGAGGTGGCAGAGTAAACAAGTTTAACCACTTCACTCAACAGCATCCTCCAGTGAGGGCCGTGTTTTGGTGGAGCCTTTGACGGTCCCACCTCGAAGCGCTTAGAAACCCCTGGGCCTTCTCGGAGAACTTACAGTGTCTGTGACCACACTCCCCTTTCTCAAGACCCTCTCAGCCTCTGCAGAAGGAAGATGGTGCTCAGGGCGGGCTCGTTGGAACCCACCTTTGTTGGCACAGGCCATCCACTTGAGGTTGTCTGCAAAAGCAGCCTCTCTCCCAATGAGGTACGTGAACACGCGGACCTGGAAGGAAGACGGACACACGGGTCAGTGCAGTCCCTGCTCCCCAACCTTGCGGACCACTGGCCCGGCTCACGCACATTTGGTTCACCTCTGTAGTGCTCCATGCTTCCCATCTGCAAGAACACATTTAAGACAGCTGAAGCCCTGGCAGCTGGAAATGCATTCAGAACTGGGGCCTTTGATCTTTTGCCCCAGCAGGCATTGGCAGTGCTTGTTTCCGTGAGCGACGCATGACAGAGGCGATGACTGGAAGCGGGAGGCTGGCAGCACCACGGGCCTGCATTTGCTACACACACACACACACACACACACACACACACGGACAACGATCGCTCGAATCTGCATCAGTTCTGCAACCATCAGCCTCATTCTCACAGGGAGTGCCACGTTTGCCCATCTTGGGAACTAAAACATCACTTATTGCCCTGCTAAAGCAGCGGTTCTCAACCTGTAGGCTGAATGACCCTTTCATAGGAGTTGCCCGATTCATAACAGTAGCAAAATGACAGTGAAGAAGTAGTAACGAAAATAATTTTATGGTTGGGGGGTCACCACAACATGAGGAACTGTATGAAAGGGACGTGGCATTAGGAAGGTTGAGAACCACTGCTCTAAGGAGCCCTGGAAGTGCAGTGTTTAAGCATTTGGCTACTAACAGAAGGACTGGAGGTTCAAACCCACCAGCTTCTCACTGGGAGACGGATGTGAAAGTCTTTTTCTGAAAGGGAGAGAGCTCCAGAAACCTTTGGGGCAGTTCCATGTTGTCTTTGAGTTTGCTACAAGTTGAAATGGACTGACTGACAGTGGAGTTTTAAAGAGGAGACCCTTGACATTCTCTCCCAATGGTGAAGACAGGCTGCAGGAGTCCTTACACCATTGACAGTGTCTGGCATGATTTGTGGGAGGCAATGGACTGAGAGGAGGGGACCTGTCTGGGCGTGAAGACCAATGGAGACTTCAGTCCTTCTCAGGTCTTGGCATCCTGCAGGACAAAGGGCACAGGGCGACCCCGAGCTGTCAAGCATTCTACCGCTCTTCCCAAAGCAGTACTTGAGGGTTGGAAGGGAGAATGTAAATGCTATCCAAGTTCACACTGCACAGTCCAAGCCAAAATCCTGAAGCAGGCCAACTACAGATATTGGGTGACCATTCTAAATCAAAAGGAAAGGTATTCGATAAATAATTCTTGACACGTGACACCAGATGTTTTACCAGCTGATATCCTCTTAGGTCATCAAGGTCAGGCACCCCACTGTTTTCTCTGTAGCATCCCCGACTGTTTCTCCCAGGCGTTTATCAGGACGTTGCTAATTCATATCTGCGGGGTTGGGTCGAGGACACTGGAGCCATTTGACAGGGAAAGGAAAGAGAGTGTCTACTTCACCAGAAGGAGTGATCCAATGCAGGACACGAATGAATACAACTCTACAGAGATGTTGTTCCCATGATGAATATCCTCTGATCTGGGCGGTATGGTTTGAGAGCTGCTTGTTAGGTAGTGTTTTAGGTCCAACGTAAAGAGCTGTTTAAGTGCATGTTCACATGATGTGCCCTCAATCTGTCCTCATCTGGGCTCTGGAAGGCAGTCACTTCCTTCAGATCACAGCTCCAGCAAGGGGCCTTCTTGGTGGGTGCGTAGTCACCGAGGCCTCTGGCTCTCTCTATTCTCAGCTCCTTCCCACACCACGCACAATGGTCTTAAACTAGGAGGACATGATGCGTGTTGGCTTGTGGGTTTATGAATTGGGGCACCCTGACTTCTCTTGGGGGAAAAGACAAACTGCAGCCTCCTGTCACTGAAGGTGCAGTTTGCCTCCCTACACAAAGCGGCGTTTGTCACCCACTTTCCCCACTTGGCCACTGTAGTGTTTGATGGAGGACCCCGGCTCTAAGGAAAACCCAGGACCACTTAAGGGCCCAGCTATAGAGGGGCCTTCAGAGACCTCAGGGCAGCACTGGAATTTCTCCTCAAAACCCTGAAGATGTGGTTCTGTCAGCACAGAAAACCCCAACCAGCTCTACAGCCCAGAACTCCTGTCCTCGGGAGCCAAGACAGGAATCAAATCTCTTAAGACCAGAATCCTACTTTCCCCATAAATCTTTGTCTTTCACTTCAAGCCTAAGCTATTTGGAAGGAAAACAGGAGACTGATAAAAATGTGTGCAGGCTTGTGGCCAAGGATAAAGCATAAGAGCTTCCAGAAAAGGAAGCCATGAGCTTTCATCCTTGCAGGCAGAGACCAGCCACAAACCAGCCCATCTGCTTCTGAGTAAGGCTCTTCTATGTGGTCCTCTCCCCTTTGCTGCCCAGATGAAGGGCCTAAGAATGTACTGAATTCTCTTTCAGAGGCATTGTTGAAACTCCAGAACAATGCTATGAAGCACTGGCAAAACTTACTTAATCCATGATTTAAAAGATGGCAACCCATTTGGAAAACCAGTAGGAATGTGCCAAACTCCAGACCCGACCTGATTGCACAAGGACACTTGTACGAATGACAACCACACCAATGAAAACCAGCACTCTGACCCCTTCTGCCCTGACCACTCCCGACTCGTGGGGCTACGGCAGGGTCTTCTATAAGCAGCACTCCCCCAGGGTCAGGTACTAGGCTAAGGAACTTATAGGCATTATATTGGTTCTCCCGGTTTGTATATTCTTATATTGCTGATGAGAGAAAATCTGATGCGATCATTATTTCCATTTATGTGTGGTTCTTGGCTCCCAAAGGACTGGCCTCTTGATCTGAGGAGAAATGGCGTGAAAGTGGTTTGCTGCATCTCTTCTTATAAAGTAAACATAATCAAAGGCTACTAAGACTACACCCTGCATTTTTCATAATGACTTTAAAAGAGAACATTTTAGTCCAAACTATAAAATATTTTGGAGAGCAATTTAATAATATACATAACATTTTATATTTATAATTTTGACCCAGTAATTCAACCCCTTGGCATTTTTCTTGCTTAGACAATAAATAAAATGCCCATGAGAGCTAGCAGGTAAGCAGGGAAGATGACAGGAAGTGACAGGGGTATGGACATCAGAGTGTGCCTGTCTCCTGGAAGCCCCCAAATTCAGGCTTCAACATTTCCACAAATACACAATGCGTATTATTTGGTTGCTAATGAGAGAAAATCTGACCCAGATGCTCACTCACTTTGCCTGAATATTGGTCAAGGTTGAAACCTGCTCCATCAGAAAGACCCAGAGATACCTGATGGGCTAAAACCGTAGTGGTGAACTCGTGCCATAACATGCCATGCAGCAATGCAGAAAAACACCCTTCATAAACTGGTGGTGGAATTAAAAGCTAGCAACAAGATATTCTGGAGCATAGGATCCTTTTTTTTTAAAGGGACTTCCATTTTTACCTTGAAATACTGCTTTAACAACAAATCTTGATCTAACAGTAGCAGATCACTTCTGAGCGGGACAGAGAGTAATGACACCACTCCCGCCTGAGTAATTCTGTAAGGACGCAGGACAGAGAGCCGTGGCACTGCAATGCGCACATGGGAAGAGACGGAGGTGGCAAGAAGGCCCATCCTCACTTCCCCCAGGGAAGGCTGCTTTAATTCTAGCGCCCATTTCATTGAATGCGAGCCCTCTATGAACAACCGGGTCAAATGGCTCCTGCTTTCCACCACCGACCAATTCTGTAACCTGATTTCTTTCCCAACAATTGGAAGTTTCTGCCCTAAGAAGGACCACCAGACAGACTTTATGATCAGGCCTTGAGCCTCTCCTTCCTAATGTGGCGAGGACCATTCCCAGAGCCAAGATCTGGGGTGGTCCTGACAGCCAGGTGTACAACACAGACAACCTAAGGAAGGAACCACGGCCGAGCGCAGACCAGGCCAGTCAGCAGAACAGACGGCAGCGCCCCAGAAAGTCACAGCCGTGGGGTGCCCTGTCTCTAGGCCGGGCAGGCACCACTCTCGTTAGTGCTCGTTAACAAAGCAGGGGGTGGGGCGCATCCAGTCTGCATCAATCTATTCGTTTTGATCTCCCATTTACGTCTGGACGGCCTTGAGATGTTCCACAAATCCAATTAAGCTTAATAAAATGTTCAGATGCAGACGTTTCAAAGTTCAAAGTCGCTTAATCTATTTAGTGTAAAATTTCCCAAATGAAACAAAAAACTCAATCCAGTTTTTCCATAAAAACAGATTATATGCTTCCTCTTCCTGGCGGTGCATTGGAAACTTAGAGGGTACAGTTCCTCTCCACCATGGATGAATCTAAGTAGTTTGAGCTTGTAAAGAAAATCAATCAAATTCTTTCCTTTCTCTCCTACCATTTCCATAAGGGAAGGGAAGTGACTTTGAGTGAAGCCATAGTAGGGGAAGTGCTCAGCCCAAAACAGACCACTGCCGCCTGCTATTCCTCCCTTTCCTGGTGAGGGCGAGACCTGCACGGCTCTGTGCTTTTGAGACAGTGCAAGTGTAGCAGTTTCAGGTTCAGAAACAACGTCTGAGCATGCACTATGTGCCAGGAACTGTTCTTGCCTCTGCAGATGTGATGGTCAAAAGATTGAACTCACTGGTAGTTCACCTTTTCGTGTGCGTTAAACAGACAATAAGCAGCACACTCATCGGGGATTTTCACTCACTGGAATGCATGCTATGAAGAAAAGAGAGCCAGTAACGGCAGTGATGGGGCTGCTGTTCTGGACAAGGAGGGAGAGGTCGTCTTCCAGATGAGGTAATATTTGAGGAGGGGTCTGGATGGGGAGAAAGGGTGGGCCCTACGTCTAGTGGGGAAACGTGTGCTAGATAGACGAAGGGAAGAGAAAGCCCAAAGTCCACAAACTAGCCATCTTTGTGGAATGCTGATGACGTCAGGAAGGAGGGGCAGCGCCATGGGGAGCCGTGGCAGGACATGCACCTGCAGAGACATTGGATCTGGGACCGGTGGGCCCGTGGCAGCACGCAGAGTAGGCTTTCGTTGCAGCCAAAGCAGAAGCCTGCGGGGAGATTGACTCAAAACCTACCGTC